TTGTGTGTGTGTGTGTGTGTGTGTGTGCGTGTGCGTGTGTGTGTGTGTGTGTGTGTGTGTGTGTGTGTGTGTGTCTGAAAATAGAACATGCAGGATGGTGTATAGATGGTTTGACGATATGACTTACGTCCTTGAATTCGAGTTTCATCCATGTTTGAGTTTATTGTTAAGTAAGCAAAATTTCACCCCGCGTTATAAGAGGAGCTGATCTCAATCTGCTGGCGATCTATTCGATTCTACTGCTTTTGAGTATACAATGTAGTTCCTGAAGAACCGATCAATTCTCAGCCAGTGTGCAATTCTAAGGAAGAGCTCAAAGTTCTGGAACTTCGGTGCTTTTGGAATAATTCTAGGTACACAAAGCTTTGTGCTTCAACCAGTAACACCTCTGCCATTGTGTGGCAGTCAAGTTCTTCGAAGCTGCACTCAACGAACGGGAGTTCGATTCTCAAATGGGGGTGATTTTTTGGGGGTCTTTAAATCGAGTGTCGCCATCCGCTGCGATGTTGTATCTATCTCAGCCCGGGTTGGCCCCGACATACGAGATCAAAGAAGGCCAGCATTTCGTTTACCTAAATGATCTAAGTTATGTCGATGGTGTCACCGGATAACTTGGCGTATACCTTGAGAATGTTGGGATACTGCCGTACAATTCCTTGTGTCAAAACAGAGAAGAAAAAAAATATACTGTCAGAAAATGATAGAAGATAACATTAAACAAGGAATGAGAACGAACTTTATTGTCATCATTAATTGGAACATTTGGTTCATACAGCAAATAAATAAATTATTGTCTTGAATCGTACTGGTGAAGCTGTTCACCACTTCTCTCCCTTTCTCCCCCTCTCCTCCCCCTCTCTCTCTCTCTCTCTCTCTCTCTCTCTCTCTCTCTCTCTCTCTCTCTCTCTCTCTCTCTCTCTCTCTTGCCCTTTTTAACTCCCAGTGGAGCATAGGTCATCAACATTATTTCTCCAACGAAGCATGTTTTATTTGGTTTTCCTAAACTTCCTTATGAGCGCTCAGGGCACATTAATCATTTTCAGTTTGGTAGGAATTACATGTAATTATATTTTGCCCGGGTGGCGGCTGAAGCCTATTCTTATCGATATTTGAACCACGAAGGGATCTTTAACGTGTGCAGCTTATACACGGGACCTCCGATATTTTTTTGGGGCCCTTTTTGCCTTACCTACCCTAAGATCAGGGGTGTGGCTGAAGGACAGCAGTAAGAAGCCAAGGAGTAGTAGTAAAAAAGCTACAGAAAGAGTCTGGAGCCCAGAATAGAGGACAAAGGGGGTAGGGTGGGGGCGGAAAGAGGAGACGGAAGCAGACGCCAACTATTGCTATCATCCATCTCTATACACCATCTATCTTCCCCCCGATGTGTCTCTTTGTTTGTTTATGTGGTCTTCTTCTGTCGACGCATGTATGTAGGTAAGCAGATAGGTAAGTGGGTTAGCTGGTTTAACGCTCCGTCTGTCCATCCGTCCGTCTGTCTGTCTGTCTATCTGTTTGCGTGCGTGGATGTGTGTGAACGCAGTAAGGTAGGTAGGTGTGACTGGGTGGGTGGCTTGTTCAGTAAGTAGGTAGGTAGTTCGGTAGATATCTTTCGGGGGCTCTCGTGGCATAGAGGTTAAGATGTTCGCCTCTCAATCAAAGGTCCCGGATTCGAATCCGAGTAGCAACAGAGAAATTTTCTTTCCTACTCTCTAGCAATGTTCTGTCGTCTGCTTTCTGCCCCCTCCCCTCATCTCCTTTACCCCCTCCTCTGGGTTCTTGACTCTTTCTGCAGCCTTTCTACTTCTTTGGCTCACTACTGTCTTTCATCCTCACCCTGGATCTTCTTGTAGGAGAGATCTACACCTAGCCTTCTCAGACAAAGGCGAAAAATCTTGGAGTCCCGTTTGCAAGTTGCGCACGTTAAAGATCCCTAGGAGATCTAAAATTGATCAGAATAGGCTTCGACAGCCACCTGAGCAAAAATTCAAGATTTCCTACCAACTAAAAATGTTTTATGTGTCCTGCTCGCTCATATGACCTTATGCAGTTGCGAGCGCCGTAAAACACATACCAAAAAAAAAAACCAAAATAAAAGATATCTGTCTATCTACCTATCTATCTATCTAATCTACCTATAGTTAAGCTCCTGTCTTTCCTTTCCTTTCATTTATTTTATAGTCACGCCTTTGTATTGTTAATGTTATATACCATTTAAGTAGCCAACAGCCAACTAAATTATCTATCTCTCTGTTATTTTTATCCGTTGATCGCATCGTTGAGCTGACTCATCTCAATTAGTTGCCTAAATGCCCAATGATTAGATTCAAAGTTAAATTCAGGGACCTTGCAGTTGTGTAAGCCATCATTATTATCGCCCTTGCTATTCTGAAGCAATGCAGCATGGGACGGGTGAAGGGAAATGGTAAAGGAGAAGGGGACTAAAATATCGACATATTGAAAAAAGCGACTTTTATAGTTCAGTTTTCCTATCTCTCTAGTTTGGATCAATATTTCAACAAGCAACGCAAGGGCGTGTCAACTGTTGAAGCCCTTCAGTAAGTTAGAGCTAGCCGGGTAGTAGAATGATTATAATACCACCCATTTCAGTTCATTATGATTTTATTCAAAGACATCTCCCCCCAACCCCGACCCCAATCTCTGCACAATCGCAGAGATCCAATTTTTGTTTTTAAAGTGTTTTACTGTGCTCACCACTGGATAAGGTCATATAAGCGTGCTGAACACATTAAACATTCTTCAGTTGGTAGGATATTTTGAATTTTGCCCGGGTGGCGGCTGAAGCCTATTTTTATCGATTTTGGACCACCAAGGTATCTTTGACGTTCGAGACTTGCACACGAGACCTCCCAGATTTTTTGCCATTGTCCGAGAACGCTAGGTGTAGATCTGTCCTACCAGAAGATCAGGGGTGTGGCAGAAAGACAGCAGTAAGAAGGAGCCAAGGAATAGCAGTAGAAAGGCTGCAGAAAGAGCCAGGGGCCCAGAGGAAGGCGCATAGGAGATTATGGGGTGGGGGCAGAAAGTGGAGACAAAAGCAGACCACAGAACATTGCCAGTGAGCTGAAAAGGAAGTGAAAGGAGAAACTGTAGAGAAGAAAAATGGGACCAACTGAATGAAAAGCAAACGCCATAACCTCTAGACCACGAGAACCTCCCC